TCTGCTTTTCCATGGGTGCGAATCTCGTTTTGGCGCTCGCTATAGTCACACTGCCCTTTGGGACAGAGGAGAAGGTAAGTGAGACAACGGTTGTAGGCACACCCCTTGAGATGTCACACTCCCTTTATGGTCACACCCGTTCGCGTTTCTGCTCGCCATGCGCTTAGTCACTGCTTTCCCGTGGGTTCTAGCCCTGTTTCAGCGCTCACTATAGTCACACCGCCGTTTCTGACAGTGCCGATTTCCAGCTCAAAGCAGGGGGCCATGGGCCATGGTGTTTAATAGGTCAACTGACCCCTCTCTCCTCTTTCCCCCTTCATCTTGTCTCCCTTCTCCCCTTCCTCCGCTTCCTCCCTCTCCCCCTCCCCCCATAACACCCCCCCATCCCCCCCCCCCCCCCCCCCTCCTGCGCCCCTGTGCAAGTGGAGGAGGAGATCTTACAGCTGCTTTTGAGTCAGACTCAATGGCAGCAGCCGTGGTATCTCCTGAAGATAAGATTACGCCCCCTCTTCCCCCCTTTTCCCCATGCTCTTCTCCCCTTCTCGGCCTCCCTTCCCCTCTCCACCCCCCCTCTTTTCCACTCTTCCTCCTCTCCTCCCCTCATCAGGTAGAGGAGGGGCTCTTCCAGCTCATGGCAGGAGACGTGGTTATTTTTAACAGCTGAACATTATGCCCCCGCTACCTCCCCTTCCCCTCCCCTCCCGCATCCCCTCTCCCCGCCCCTCCCTCCTCCCCTCATCAGGTGGAGGAGGAGCTCTTCCAGCTCATGGCAGGGGCCATCCGCGAATTGGACGCTGCCACGTGTCAGCTGGTGGGAGGGCACACGGTGGAGGGGCCTGAGCTGTCGCTGGGGTTTGCAATCACGGGATTGGCGGAGAAGGACAGGCTGTTGAGAAAGGTATTGGGGTTTGTTTGAGAGGGTTGACGTTGATGGGGTTAAAGTTGAGGGCCTGGTCTATTGCTGGGCTTGGCTGTCATGGGGCCTGGCTGCGAAGGACAGGCTGTTGAGAAAGGTATTGGGATGTGCCCCAGGGATTGAGAAAGGTATTGATGCTGCTGGGGTTGAATTGACGGGGCCTGAGCTATCGCTGGGGTTCGCTGTCACGGGACTGGCTGACAGAGACAGGCTGCTGAGAAAGGTATTGAGGTTTGTTAGCGATGGTTGATCTCGCAGGGGTGGATGGAGATGGAGAGGCTTGAGTCGTTGCTGGGGCTTGCTGCCATGGGGTTGGTCGGCAGGGACAGGCTACTGAGAAAGGTAATACTGGGAATATGGTTTTGAGGCGCCTCAAAACTGGTCTTTTGACGGTTTGACGGTTTGACGGTTTGGAGAATGTACAAAGAAAGGGACGGAAGGCATGTGTCGTTCCGTTCCGTGTATTCGTACCCATCCTCACCTCGTGCAGCCTGCGTTGTCGTAGCCGTTTCTTCCAAAGTGCTTCTCACCGCTTTGTTAAGTGGCACTTTGCGACAGGGTGAGAGGACAAGTAGCCATTAACGGCACTCTTCGCTGCAGCCCACCCTAACACCCGAACACCCGAACACCCTAACACCCTAGCACCCGAACACCCTAACCCTAACGCTTTATGGCTACAAGTGCGACAGGGTGTGAGGACAAGGGGCATGACACGGGTGCTGTGCGCCATCATGGCTGCTGTCTAATGAGGACAAGGGACATGACACTGTGCCATCATGCCTGTTGTCGCGTACCTTGTTCTCACCAATGTGACACGGGTCACCGTGATTTTCTCGTTCTATCTCTCAACCCGTCCGCATGGTTGAACCAACCTTAGTCTGCGACCCATCTGGTAGCATGCAAGTGTGCTGTGCAGGCAGGCATGCATGTGGGCGACAGCATCATTCTCACCTCACCAAGCCCATTGGCAGGCGTCTGGCCTTCGCGAGACATGGGCCTTTTGATGCGACCCCATACATCCCACCCCCATGCATCCCACCCCCATACATCCCACCCCCATGCATCCCACCCCCATACATCCCACCCCCATGCATCCCACCCCCATGCATCCCACCCCCATGCATCCCACCCCCATACATCCCACCCCCATGCATCCCACCCCCATACATCCCACCCCCATGCATCCCACCCCCATGCATCCCACCCCCATACATTCCACCCCCATACATCCGACCCCCATACATCCCCCATCCCCACATATCCCATCCCCATGCGTGCATGCAGGCAGGCATGTGCGTCGGCGACAGCATCATTCTCACCAAGCCCATCGGCACAGGGGTCATTTTTGCAGCCAACATGAGGAGCAAGGCAAAGGTGGGATGGATCATGGGCACAGTACCGCTCTTAGTTCGGCTCAAACGCAGACCTTTGAGTCGACTCAAAAGGTGGGTGGGATGGCCATAGTTCCTGTCCTCGCCTAAAGGTTAATTACCCAACAGGTTGTGCGTAGATTAATCCTTTTCCCAGCAGCCTTTTCCTGAACCCAATAAGCCTCCGTCTCCCTGGTTCCTTTATAATCGGAGGCTCGTAACTTGACTTGTCTGCCTGTTCCGTCTTCCACGCCCCGCAGGGACGGTGGGTTGACGGGGCCATTGGCAGCATGCTGGTCTCTAATCAGGTGATTATGGTGTAGGGAAAATGCATTTCTTAATCAAGTGATTGTAGTGAATGGAAGAGTGAAAGGAAGTAATCAGTTGGTTACAAAAGGAATTGTGCAAGTGGCAATATGCAGGTCTCTAACCAGTTTTTCTTCGACAGTTTTACTTGTGAGGTACACCGGCAGTATTATTTCGTAGTGGACATATTTTGTACAAGGCGAATTCATTTGAGGACATAAGCCATTCCATTGTCTTTATTTCTCTCATCATGTCTCCTGCCTCATTTTCTCACATCGTGTCTCCTACCTCCCTCCCTTCCCAAGCATTTACCATCAGCAAGCAAGGCATTGCAACGCTCAACCCATCCACTGTTGCTGCCATCATCCCACAACCCATCCACTGTTGCTTCCATCATTACACAACCCATCTCCCCCCTTCCCCTTCCACCCTTCTCATCTAAACCCCCTTGTGCGCCCCCCTCCCCTTCCCCCCCCCAACCTTCCAAATCCCCCCGTTGGTTCTCGTCCCATTGCAAACGACACCAGAAAGCCGCAGCCATTGCATTGCAACACGAGGCCACTGCTGCTACAGATGTCACCGGCTTTGGTCTGATTGGTGTGTCTACTCAATTGAATTAATCAGCATGGAATTGCATAATTCTCACCAGTTAGGTGTGTGTCTGCCATGAGGTGACTTTTGAGTCGACTCAAAAGTCACCTCGGCTTGATTGGTGTGTCTATTCGGTTCACTTGATCAGCATTTAATTCCATAATTCTCACCAGTTAGGTGCGTGTGTGCCATGCCATCGGATGCCATGGTATGTCATGCAGTGCCATGTGCAGTGCAAATATTCAGCATGTTAGTCTTGTGTCGCATGACAGGACACTAGTTTTGAGGCGCCGCAAAGTCGGATGCCATGGAATGTCATGTGGTGCCATGTGCAGTGCATATATTCAGCATGTTGATCTTGTGTCACATGCCCATGCCACAGGCCATCTGGTGGAGATGACAAATGCCTCACGTGTTACTGTCTCCATCGACCCATCTACAGTACCCATTCTGGTAACCACCCGTGCATCCTGGTAGCACAGCTGCAGTTCTTGTTCATTCTTGTGGCTGCCACAAGAACGGGGTATAACCAGGCTCTTGTGGTAACCTGGTTACATGCTCTTGTGGTAATACCGTATGCTCTGGTCCTTCACAAGAGCCCGATTATGCTTCCTCTCTTCCAAATTCTGCCCTCAATCCCACCCCTTCCTCCTCCCCCCCCTGTTTCCCCCCCCCTAAGGATGGTGCACTTGAGTGCACCCAAGGGGGCATTTTCAGCTCGCTCCAAGACTCGAATTTGCGCCTGCGACGAGCCATCAGCAATTATGAGGAGGTGAGGCGGAATGGGAATCGGTTGTGAGGAATGAGAAGGTGTGATGAGGAGTGAAAGGATGTGACATGAGCGATGGGAGATCAACCGAGACACACATCCCTTCCTCCGCCCCTTCATAAGTTGAGGCATAGTGTAACTCTCTGGGTTGTCAGATCTTATTAACCCCCCCTCCTTCCCCCACACACGCACTCCATTTCTCCCCCCAACCTCGCCACTATCCACCTAAGGCCCCCTTTTCAAGGTATCCACTCCACCCATCCCCTCATGCCTTTTATTTTTGAACCGCGAACAGCTGGGGAGCCACTCCGTTCTTGTCAAACAGAATCATCAATCCCCACCCCTCTACCTCCCCTCTCCCTCCCCTCTCCCTCCCCTCTTCCTCCCCTCTCCCCTCTTTCCTGCCCCGTCCAACATACCCCACCCCCCCACTTCACACATCCTTCCCCCATTCCCCCAGGCATCCACCCATCCCCTCACATCTCTTCTATTTGACCCCCAGACGGCCGGGGGACTTCTTCTCTCTGTGCCTCACGCTAGAGCCACTCAGTGCTTGCTAGCTTTGCACAGTGGGGGATACCCCGCTGCTGCTGTGATCGGTAGAGTGGTTTCCTTGACTGAGGAGGCGTGTGGAGGCCCGTCCGTTACGATTGAATGCAACCAGTAGGGAAAAAGAATTTATCCGTTCTTCGTATTATGAAAGTTTGCTTCATTTATTGGTGCCCCATACGCGCCTTCATATATTGATACCCTTGAAGATAATGCCTATCGATATCGCTTCTATTTTTAGTGAGCGTCTTACTACCACACGCTCATATGGCTGGTGGTGAAGAATTCCGAAAGAATAAGTTGCTTTGTTGCAAGTACCACGTCCACGTCCTTTATGTCAAGTTGTGAAACACTATTTGAATATCACTGTATGATATTATTGGTTCCCGAAACGTTCAACGACTCTGTAGCGGATCCCTAGCTCTCACCTGCGAATTCCACCGCGTTTGTTTGTACTCCCTCGGCATTTTCTAGGAGGCACTCACATCCACGCGCTAGTCAGTCAGGCACCGCAGCTCTAGTCTCTCGCTCACTGAACGACACTCACGCCAGGGGCCCCACGTGTCTCTCTCGAATGTCGCCTTCGCGATGGTCGTTCGCGGTAACCGAAGCCCGTACTTCCTCGCGAGCGTCGAAAATACTGCCCAAATCACGTTCCACGCGACGATTCGTTGCCTCCATCTCGTCCTAGCCTGCTCCTTCGGCTCGGATATCCGTTTCCCTGCCATGCATGCTCTCTAGACTAGAAAAACCGAAGCTCCATACGCGGCGTCCTCGGGATTCCGCTCGCGAAACGTGGTCGTTTATTTCGTCGTCGTCCATTTCGCGACGAACTACCGCATCGCAGGGACGCACCAGCAACCGTCGCCACGATGGGTGAATTCTCGTTTCGGACCTCCGCTAAACCCCTTCCGAAACCGGGTGAATTCTGGGTGATTCCTCCTGCGCTCCTCCAGCTCTCTGGGTTTGAATTCCTCCAGTCTCCGAAATCTCTTTCTAGCACACGAGATTTGGAAACCCTTCTAAACGTCAAGTTAGCAACATCTGGCGAATTGATTTGGAAGGTAGCAACAACGCACGATGCAGCGGCGGCTGCGGCCTCGGAAGCACTCGCAGGAGAAGAGGCAGAGCGAGCGACGGAACTCAACACGCAGGGGCAGGGAGGAGTGGGAGGATGAGCCGATCGAGTATGCTGATGCTGATGCTGATGCTGATGCTGATGCTGGAAATGACTTCCGTGCCTCTCAGCCCAAAGTACCTAAGCCGGTGCATTCCACGGCCCTGATGTTCGTTCATAATTCGATTCGGCAGGTGGAAACGCTTTTGAACGTGAAAGCTCTGCTGGTGCGCGAGAGGACGGATGGGGACGAGGCGAGTGGGCCGCAGGAGCGGCAAGAGGGGGGAGCGCAAGGTGATGACGAAGCAGCAGGCGATAAGGAGCAGGGAAAGGGTGAGGATGCCCCCCTGTCCCCTGCAGCAAGAATGGGGGAATTGCTGGCGAAGCGGGGGAAGAAAGAGGTCGAGACGGCGCTGCGAGAGGGTGGGGGTGTAAGCCGTGCAGCAGGAAGCGGGGAGAGGGGCAAGAGGGAGCCGTGCTGGCGAAGCGGGAGAGGAAAGAGTTGGAGGCCGTGTGGCGAAGGAGGAGGGTGGCAGCAGCGCATGGGCCCCTGCTGAGGTCGAATCTGAATGACCTCATCTCCTGGTGGGAGAGGAAGGTCGACGGGCGGCTGGGCCCGCACGAACCCGACCCATTCCAGGGGAAGGTTGCCAAGGGGCTGGGCCTGCAGGAGCCGGACCCTTTCCAGAGGAAGGTTGCCAAGAGGCTGGCCCCGCACGAGTGCGACCCTTTCCAGAGGAAGGAGGAGGAGGAGAAGGCGGCAAAGGAGGTGCTGTTTGAAACAGTGCTGGCGGTGGTGCGGCTGCTGCCGGCCTTTTCAAAGGTGCTGCTGGGTTTGGAGGGTTTGTGTGACGCTGGGTGTGAGGTGTGTGGGAGGGAGGATGTGGATCTGAATCTGGTGGAAAGGGTGGTGGGTTGCTACCCTCCTTGTGTGGAGCGTAGGGGCAAGGGCAAGGTTACGCTGCCTAGCGTGCCTCGGGTTAAGGGAGGAAAGGAGGATGGAGCTAGGTCGGATGGACCTATTGGGTTCACAGGGGGGATGGCTGGTGAATTAAGAGAGGCTGTTGGAAGAGCAGGAGGGGCAGATGGGGTGGTGGGGGGAATAGTTGGGGCGGAGGGAGCAAGGGGAGGGTTGGTGGGAGCGATGTGTGGGGAGGAGGGAGCAAGGGGAGGGTTGGTGGGAGCGATGTGTGGGGAGGAGGGAGCAAGGGGTGGGTTGTTGGGAGCGATAGGTGGTGGTGGGAAAGAGGTGGCGTTACCACGAGGCGAGGTGGCAGGGGTGGCAGGAGCGGTGGGTGGGGAAGTAGAGGTAGGTGGGGAAGCGGGAGAGGAAACCGGGCTGGCAGGAGAGAAAACTGGGGTGGCAGGAGAGACAACTGGGGTGGCAGGAGAGCAGAGAGAGGTAGCAGGGGTGGAAGGAGGGGTGGGTGAGGGAGGAGGCTCCTTGGGTGGGTCTCTTGGTGGGGCAGCCGGGGTGATGGGAGGGACTTTTCGCGGGGCCTCTGCTGCTGCTGCTGCTGCTGCTGCTGCTGCTGCTGGTGCTGCTGCTGCTGCTGCTGCTGCTGCTGCTGCTGCTGGTGCTGCTGGTGCTGGTGCTGCTGCTGCTGCTGCTGCTGCTGCTGCTGCTGCTGGTGGCGCTGCTGCTGGTTCTTCTGGTGGTGCTGCTGGTGGGGTGTCTGCGCAAGCAGTAGACTTGGCTGGGGCGACAGGAGAAGAAATGGCTGGGGTGACTTCTGAGTTGATCCAAATGTCATCCGGCAGGGTGTCTGGTGGGTTCTCCAGTGCGGTGTCTGGGCCTGCAGTTGACATGCCTGGAGCAGCACGAGGGACAGCTGGGCCTGCAGTTGACATGCCTGAAGCAGCACGAGGGACAGCTGGGCCTGCAGTTGACATGCCTGGAGCGGCACGAGGGACAGCTGGGCCTGCAGTTGACATGCCTGAAGCGGCACGAGGGACAGCTGGGCCTGCAGTTGACATGCCTGAAGCGGCACGAGGGACAGCTGGGCCTGCAGTTGACATGCCTGAAGCGGCACGAGGGACAGCTGGGCCTGCAGTTGACATGCCTGGAGCGGCACGAGGGACAGCTGGGCCTGCAGTTGACATGCCTGAAGCAGCACGAGGGACGGCTGGGCCAGCAGAAGAGATGGCAGGGGCGACAGGAGGGGAAGCGGCTGGGGCGACTTTAAAGTCGATGCAAAAGTCATCCGGTGGGGTGTCTCAGCCAGCAGTAGACATGCCTTGTACGGCACGAGGATTGGATGGGAGATCAGAATGGGGTGGGACGGCAGGAGGGACGGCAGGAAGGGAGATGGCTGGAGTGGTGAAGGAAGAATATATCGAGGAGAGTGGCGATGAGGGGAGGTGGGTTGGGGAAGTGGGTGATCAGATGCCACCGCGTGTGATGGGAGGTGCGATGATAGACGAGGGGGGTCGTGTGGGGGGGAGAAGATCTGCTATTGATCGCGGGACGAGGGTTGGGGCAGTTGGATTTCAGATGCCACTGCGTGCGGTGGGAGGTACGACGATAGACGAGGGGGGTCGTGTGGGGGCAAGAGGGTCGGTTATGGATGGGGGGAAGAGAAAGAGAGGCGGAGAGGAACGAGAAGGCGAGGAAAGGAGAGGAAGTGAAGTAGCAGGGGAAGGGAGAAGGAATTATGTGGGTAAGGGGATTCTACCTCAAGGGAGGGGCAGTGATGGCACGGGGGAATCTGCGAAAGGGAGGAATGGTGCTGGCACGGGGAACGTGGGGGTGAGAAGGGAGACTAGGGATACGGTGCTGGTTCCGCGTACTGTGTATGTCATCTACAAGAAGAGTGAGGTTGACAAGATGCGACAGCAGCGCCAGCAGTGGGAGCAGCAGCAGCAGCGGCGACTACAGCAGAGGCAGCAGAGACAGCAGCAGCAGCAGCAACAACAGCAGGTGACTGAAGGCATAGAGGATGGAGGTAGAAGAGGAGGCTTGGGGCCGGCGGTAGCTGGGAGTGGCGGAGAGGTGGTGGAGGGTAGGAGGGCCATGCGTGGTACTACAGGGAGGGACAGGAGTGGTAGTGTGATAGTAGAGGAGGCTGGTGTGGGTGTTAAGGACGCTACTATGGCAGTAAAGAAGAAGGCTGGTGGTGGCAGTATTGGCAGTGATGGTGGTGGTGGCAGTATTGGCAGTGGTGGTGGTGGTGGTGGCAGTATTGGCGGCGGTGGTGGTGGTGGTGGCAGTATTGGCGGTGGGAGTATTGGTGATGCTGCTGCTGCTACTGCTGCTGCTGCTGCTGACATTATGGGTGCTGGTGCCAGTGGTGGTGGCGGCAGCAGCAGTGGTAAAGGTGGAGGAGGAGGAGAGGGAGGGAGAGGAGGGAAGGGAGCAGCGGAGAAAAGTAGGGCTGGAGGCTGGTGAAAGGAGCAGCATGTCAGCTGGAAGGGTCAAGCAGACAGGTGGAAGGGGCAAGCAGGCAGGTTAAAGGGGCAAGAAGGCATGTGGAAGGGGCAGGATGTCAGGTGGAGCAGGGAGGGAGAGGCAGCAGGGGAGGAAAAGAGCCTACAAGGGCGGAGGTGGTTGTAGAGGGGCCTTTGCACTCTGGGCGACCAGGGGAGAAGAGGGCTTTACATAGTCGCACAGACAAAGGCGGGATGCAGAAGAAGAGGCGGATTGAGGAGTGAGGAGAGGCTCTTACAGGCAGCAAGAGATCTCCCAGGTGTGTCTGTGCTATAGCTCGTTTTGAGACGGCTCAAGACTTACCTACTTGAACACGGAGGGATGCAGAAGAAGAGGCGAATGGAGAAATGAAGGAGGGCCAGCAAGTGATCTCCCAGGTGGTTCTGTTGGGATTGGTTGGGATGGGATATTCAATGATTGTTGTCACGGTACGTGTACATAGTTCGACAGTTGAATGTTTGTTCAACTGAGTTCTCACTGGGAGTCTCACACTACAGCACTACAAATCTTCCTTGTGCTAGACCACTGTTGCTTTGTGCGGGTAACATTGTTTCAATGGGTACACTCGAGAGACATAGAGACAATCACTGGCAGATGTACGGTATGTAACACGCATGGCATTCTACAGGCTGGAATGTACTGTACACTCTCAGGAAAACATTTGATCACTCCCATCCATGGCAATTGTGAGTCAAGGAAGAGCAACTGTGGCAGGGGTTAAAGCAAAGGTAGGGCTGGTCCAGAGCCCAAAGGAAAGCGGTGGCCCGGGGTCAGCAGGAAGACAAGAAACAACCCCAACCCCGAAGCAGCAGTTACAGCAGCTGCAGCAGCAGCAGCAGCAGCAGGAGCAGAAATGGTTGGTCAACAGTGCATGTTGTGAGGCGGGCACACGAACAAGCACTTGCGGTGTACAAGCACTTGCGAAGCACAAGCACTTGTGAGGTGGTTTGAGGATTCATGGTAAGGGGGGGGTGATAGGAATTGTAGCAAAGGATCTCGCTGATGCAGGGGCAGTGGAGGTAGCAACGGCAGCAGAGACAGCAGGAAGAGCAGGAAGAGCAGGAAGAGCAGGAAGAGCAGGAAGAGCAGAGACAGCAGGAAGAGCAGAGGCGGCAGCCGGGGCAGGGGCGGCAGCCGGGGCAGGGGCGGCATGAGAAGCAGCAGAGATGGGAGAGGAGGTGGCGGCCAGGATTGGTCTAGAACCAACAGGAGGTAAGAGTGCGGCTACCGAGGGAGTGGCACAGGGGACACACGAAGAGGCGACTCGTGAGGTGCTCTGGTGAGCGCTGGCATGAGTGACAAGTGGAGCAGTTATGGCGGCATTCTTGGCGTAAGAGTGACTGTTACTTGACGAGGATCGGTGCAAGAGAGGGGCGGGGTTCACTGTGGGAGCAGGATGCAGGGACTGCCTGTTTGTGGGATGCGAGTTAGAGTTCAAGTGGGAGGTATTGGCTGGCTTTGCTGTGGACGGGTGACGAGGAGGGATGATGTGGAGCTTTGGGAATCCTCCTCCCCCTCCGCCTGTTGTTCCTGTACCTGCTGCTGTTGTTTTTGCTGCTGCTGCTGTAAAACCTGCTGCTCTGCTGCCCGTTGGTGCTGGCATTCGTGCATTCATTGACGGCACATTTGCGACTGGACGTGCTGCCACGGCAACACAATGTGCTGCTGCTGCTGCTGTGGGTGCTGGGGGTGCTGCTGCTGCTGCGGGTACTGGGGGTGCTGCTGCTGCTGCTGCTGGGGTTGCTGCTGCTGCTGCTGCTGCGGGTGCTGCTGCTGCTGCGACACCGGCTGGTAAGACTATGCCAGTTGTTGCTTGAACCGCCTTGCTAATGCCAGCTGGCCTCGCCCCTGTTGCTGGTGCTGGTGCGGCTGGTGTTGCTGCTGTTGCCGCTTGTGGTAGTGGGACTCTGGCTCCCTGTGCCGCTGGTGCTGCCCTTGCTGCCACTGCAGTTGCTGCTGCTCTTGCCGCTTGTGGCATTGGGGCTGCTGCTGCTGCACTTGCCGGTTGTGGTATTGGGGCCGATCTTCCTGCTGCTGCTGGTGCCACTGTTGCTGTTTGCGCCGTTGCCACTGCTGCTTGTGCGACATGAGATGACACATGCCATCTAATTTTGACCTTGGCGATTCCTCTGCTCTAGAGAGCAGACAGGGGGACGACAGAAGGCAGAAGGCAGGGGAGAAGGCAAGGGAGAAGGCAGGGGAGAAGGCAGGGGAGAAGGTAAGGGAGAAGGCAAGGGAGAAGGCAGGGGAGAAGGCAAGGGAGAAGGCAGGGGAGAAGGCAAGGGAGAAGGCAAGGGAGAAGGCAGGGGAGAAGGCAAGGGAGAAGGCAAGGGAGAAGGAAAGGGAGAAGGCAGGGGAGAAGGCAAGGGAGAAGGCAAGGGAGAAGGCAAGGGAGAAGGCAGGGGAGAAGGCAAGGAAGAAGGCAAGGGAGAAGGCAAGGGAGAAGGCAAGGGAGAAGGCAGGGGAGAAGGCAGGGGAGAAGGCAAGGGAGAAGGCAGGGGAGAAGGCAAGGGAGAAGGCAAGGGAGAAGGCAAGGGAGAAGGCAAGGGAGAAGGCAGGGGAGAAGGCAGGGGAGAAGGCAGGGGAGAAGGCAAGGGAGAAGGCAAGGGAGAAGGCAAGGGAGAAGGCAGGGGAGAAGGCAGGGGAGAAGGCAAGGGAGAAGGCAAGGGAGAAGGCAAGGGAGAAGGCAGGGGAGAAGGCAGGGGAGAAGGCAGGGGAGAAGGCAAGGGAGAAGGCAAGGGAGAAGGCAAGGGAGAAGGCAGGGGAGAAGGCAAGGGAGAAGGCAAGGGAGAAGGCAAGGGAGAAGGCAAGGGAGAAGGCAAGGGCCGATATAAGGAAGGAGACCAAACGGCACAAGAAAAGGAGGTAGAGAGAGATGTGAGAGGCAGGCAGAGAACAGATTCTGGAGATTGTAAGAGAGGAGGGAGCAGGAAGACGAGATGTTGGAAAGGATTATGCATCTGAGCAAAGAGACAGGGGATACAGGTGTTGGTTGCTTCTGTTTCTGCATCAAATCACCTTATACTAGGTGACGGCAGTTCAGGTGAGGCAGCCACACCGAACTCTCCACCTGAAGCAACACCTGAAGTAGCACCTGAAGCAGCACCTGAAGCAGCACCTGAAGCAGCACCTGAAGCAGCACCTGAAGCAGCCCCCACAGCCCCCCCTGGTAGAATTCCTGCTACTCCTCCTCCCCCCACTCGCCTCCTCTTCTGTACCTCCTCCTCCACCTCTTCCATTTGACTCTTCGAAGCCCACTTCTCCTCCGCTTCCCCATCCCCCCACTCCATCCACTCCTCCTTCCCTTCGTCCGTTTCCCCTCCCAAAACCGCTTTCAAGCCCCTTCCTCCTTCTGCGATACCCTGGCTTTCGTGGCACACTTGCTTCTTCAACCGTTTGAAAGCCACCCTTGGCTGTTCGCCTTGCAATCCCCCCTCTCCGGCTCTCCCCTTCAACTCATCCCCGTTGCTTCTCACTGCGTTCCTTCCGTCACTGCCCCCAGCACCAGCACCAACATCAGTACCAGCACCAACACCAGCACCAACACCACAACCAGCACCAGCACCAGCACCAGCACCAGCACCAGCACCAGCACCAGCACCAGCACCAACACCAGCACCAACACCACAACCAGCACCAGCACCAGCACCAGCACCAGCACCAGCACCAACACCAGCACCAACACCACAACCAGCACCAGCACCAGCACCAGCACCAGCACCAGCACCAACACCAGCACCAACACCACAACCAGTGCCGTTGCTGCAACCACCAGCACTGCCACCAGCACCAGCAGCGCCTCCACCATCCTCCTCCTCCTCCTCCTCCTCATCCGAATCTGACAGCAGCTCGATCACCTCTGGCTCCACCGGCTTCACAGCAGCAGCGCTCTTTCTTCCCCCAGCAGCGCTCTTTGCTGGCACACCAGCATTCTTTACAGTCACACCCCCACCCCTCCCCCTCCCTGTAGCCCCTCGCGTGACCCTCCTACTCTCCACCTCCCCAACACTCCCAGACACTGCTGCTGCATCGGCCGATGCTCTCCCTCTTGACAGAACAACTCTCAGAGCAGACCCACCAGCTGATGTTTCTCCTCTAGCCACTCTGTGCTGCTCCTGGTGTTGCTGCCCCAGCTGCTGCTGCTGCTGCTGCTGCTCCTTCCGCTGTCGCATCTGCTCCACCTCATGCCTCTTGTAAATCGCATACACAGTCCGCGGGACCAGCACTTTCTTCTTCCCACCCTTCCGTTTCGTTTCAACACTCTCCGACCCACCACTGGCAGCAGCAGAGTCAGCCGCACTGCCACCATCCCTCCCTTCATGTGAAAACCCATCCGCCAGTCCCTCCCCTCCTCCCCTCCCCGCTCCTTCCTCCTCTGCTCCCATGCCTCCACATTTTCCTCCATCCCCTCCTTTCTCCTCGTCTCTCTTCCGTTTCCCCTTATCCAAAACAGTTCCTCTTCCCCTGGCGCAACCCCCCTCTCCCAATCCATCCCCTCCCCCCACACTCATCCGCATCAGGTCACTACCCTCTTCCCCAACCTCCTTCTCCCAACCCCTTACCTCCCCAATCCCACTTTCATCAACAGTTTCGTCCTTCACCACCCCACCCATTCCCCCTCCTGTCACGCCAGCTATCCCTTCTGCTAGCCCATCTGCTCCACATGCCGACCCAGCCCTGTCTCTTGCTGTTTCACTTGCTGTTTCCGCAACCCCAACAGACGCCCCACCCACCACCGCCCCTACCTTACTCCTCCCTCCCTCTGAGCTAGCCCCAACCTCCTCTACTCCATCCTCGCGGGGAAAGCTAGGTGTAACCGTGTCCCTGCCAGGCACACTAGCTGTAACCCCATTCATGTTACTAGTTACGTCCGCAGCTAAGTCCCCAGCTTCGGCCCCCGCCTCGCCCCCAGCCTCGGGCCCACATTCGGCCCCAGCTTTGACCTCCTCCACCTGGTTTCGCTCCTCGCATCCCTCTCCCCTCCTCTCCCACTCTCTCATTTCCTCCCTCCCCTTTTCTCCACCAGCCTCTCTCACTTCCTCCCCTTCTCCCCCCCTCACCCCCATTTCTCCAGCCCCCCTACTCCCCAACTCTCTCACTTCCTCCCTTCCCTCCTCTCCATCAGCCTCTCTCACTTCCTCCCTTCCCTCCTCTCCACCAGCCTCTCTCACTTCCTCCCTTCCCTCCTCTCCATCAGCCTCTCTCACATCCTCCCCTACATCCTCCCTCAACCCCCCTTCTCCAGTCCCACTCCCTCCCTCCTCCTCACCCCCAACCCCACTCGATCCCACTCTGTTTTCCTCTCCCCCTCGCTCCAACCTCCCCCCCTCCCCCTCCTCCTTCCGCTTTCCCTCCTCCTCCTTCCGCCTCTGCTCCGCCTCTCTCCTCTTCAGCGCAGCAATAATCATTCTCTCCTCCTCATCTGACTCAGAACAGCTGCCATCATCCCCGTTACCGCTCTCCATCCTTCTCCACCTGCCATCGGGGAACACCTCCACCTCCTCGTCCTCTTCACTTGTTTCTTGGAGAATCTTTTGCACTGTCAGGAGGGTGGTGAATAGAAATGTACTATGTGGTCAAAAGGGGCAAAAGTGGGGAAGATCATTGACTGCCGTCAGCTGCAGTACCGCTCTCCACCCTTCTCCACCTGCCATCAAGAAACCCCTTCACCTCTTGGAGATAGTTTTGCACTGTAAGGAGGGCGGTGGGATGCAGTGCAGTGCGGTGAATGGGGGAAGATGGGAGGGAGGTGGGGAAAAGCGAGCGGGAAGGAGGGAGGGGAGGGGGGATGGGGGAGGGGAAGCATTGTTGAGTGGCATCATTCCCATTGCCAATCTCCACCCTCCTCCACCTGCCACCTGGAAACACCTCCACCTCCTTGTCCTTCTCAGCTGCTTCTTGGAGGATGTTTTGCACTGATGCAGTTCGGGATGGATGGAGTGCGGTGCGGTGGAGTGCAGGCAGTAAAATGGGTGGTACCAGAGTTCATACAGTCAGGATATTCACTGAAGCCGACAGGGAAAAACTCGGCTTCATGCGAATGTACTATGCCCATAACGATGGCAATGTCAACATCCGCATGGATGTCAATTACTCACTGAAACCGTCCAGGAAGAGCTCGGACCACAGCAGCTGTTGGTAGCAGATGGGGCAGCGCCACGCCCTCTTGACGTTCTTCGCCAGGCCCTGGTTCATCCGGAGGTAAGACGCCAGGTCGAACGTGCTCTCGTGGGAGCACTTCTTGCCCCGAACAGGCACCTGGAGAGAGATGGGGAGAGAAAGAAAAAACACCACAATTTGCTGATCTTATGGCAGAGGTGTGAAACACCACAACATAGCGAATGCAGAAGCCAAAGAGAGAAGACGAAAGAGGACACCAAAGTCCGAAGTGAGGAGGAAGGACGGAAATGAGGTGAGGAGGAAGAAGGAAATATGAAGAGGCTAAAAGGCGAGGAGCGAAACCCGGAAGCCCTACCTTGATGCGTGCGAGGGAAAGCGGGCATTTGAGGCTGAGAATGAAGGCCTCCGTCTCCACCCCTCCCTCCCTCAGCTGCGCTGCTGAGTTCCTCACCATCTGCTCCACCACCTGCTCACTCGACCGCACCTTCCTCTCACACATTGTCACCTCCTGTGAGAGAGAGCAGAGAGGGAAGACAGGAGAGCGGAGAGAGGGAAAGGAGGGTTATAAGCCACCACCCTCTCCACCCAGCACACCTCCACATCCGTCCGCTCACACACCTCACCCCCCTAAAATTCAACTCAAAAGCACGCACAGACAGACAAACACTCACCAGCTGCTTGATCCCCTTCTCCGAGCGCATCATCTTGAGCACCTCAGGCGGGTTATACGCCACCACCCGCTCCACCCAGTACAGCTCCACATCCGTCCTCTCACACACCTCACCCCCCACGTCACACATCTTCACCAGACTCCCCTGGCAATCCGGCGGGAAGGCCGGCAGCAGCCGCACCACCCCCAGCACCGTTTCAAACAGCTCTGCCTTCGCCGCCTTCTCCTCCTCCTCCTTCCCCTGGAACGGGTCGCGTTCGCGCGGGCCCAGACGCCCGTCGACCTTCTTCTCCCACCAGGAGATCAGCTCCTGCAGCTGCATCCTCAGCAGGTCCCCATGCTGCGCTGCTGCTTTCCGCCTCCGAGACTCCGCCTCCTTCTCCTCCTTCTCCCATTTCGCCACCACGTTCTCGCCTCTTGCCGCAGGGCTCAAATCCCCCCCACCCTCCCCCTGCTCCTCCTCTCCAGCCGCTTCTTCCCCCCCTTCTCCCGCTCCTTCCTGCCCCTCCTTCTGCTCCCCCGCCTCTCCCTCACCATTCTCCCTGCCCTCTGCCCCATCCATCCGCTCCGTAACCATAAGGGCTTTCACTCCAAAAAGCATCTCCACCTGGCGGATGGACTCATGGATGGACCTGAGCGCTCGGTAGTGCAAGGGCTCCAGGACCTTTGGCTGGGAGACAGGGAAGGCGTCTGCAGCATCGGCACCATCGTCCCTCTCCTCGTCCTCGTCCTCCTTACGTGCTGTCTTCCTCCGCTTGCTTCGCCATAGGCTCGGGAGCGGCTGGTCTTGGAGCGAGTGTTTCTGAGGCTGCTGCTGCTGCTGCTGCAGGTGTTCCTGCTGCTGCTGCAGGGGCTGTGACAACTGCTGGTGCTGCTGCGGTTGTGATTGTGGCTGCGGTTGCTGCAGCAACAGACGTTGTTGGTGCAGATTGTTCTGCTGTTGCAACAACTGCTGCTGCTGGTGCTGAAGCTGATTGCTCTGAACAGTCAAGTGCTGCTGTTTCAGCTGCTGCAGCTGTTGCTGTGGCTGCTGCTGCTGCTGGTGGTGAACTTGCTGCGCCTGCTGCTGCCGTTGGTACTTCTGTTGCTGCTGCTGAAGACGCTGCAGATGAGATAGGGTACCATCTTGTTCCTGAATGCGCCCTTGGTGCTGCTGCAGCTGCTGTGACTGTGGCTGTGACAGTAACTGTGACTGTGACTGTGACTGTGGTTGTGGTTGCTGTAGCTGCTTCCACCACTGCTGCTGCTGCTGCTGCTGGTGCTGCTGCACAGGAGGCTGAAGCTGCTGTGCTTGCTGCGGCTGTTGCGGTTGGAGAGCTTGTAATGGGGCGAGGGACGCGACACCTTGCTTTCCTTGCTGCCTCTGCAGATGCTGCTTGAGCAGTGTTTGCTGAAGGTCTGGTGGCAGCCGAAACCAAGGATGCTTTTCCTGCTCTTGCTGCTGCTGCTGCTGCTGCTGGTGTAGTTGCTGAAGTGGCTGCTGCTGCTGCTGTTGTGGAGTATGCCTACTCTGCAGGCCTGAGATTGCTGGAGACATCGCAAGTTGCTGCTGCACATGGCGCTGCTGCGTTAACTGCTGGGGCTGCGCCTGCCGCAAGGGCTGCAGCTGTTCCAGCTGCGCCTGCTGCAGGTGCGGATGCTGCTGATGCTGCTGCTTTGGTTGTTGCTGCTGCTGTTGCCGGGAACACGACTGCTCCAGCTGTGCCTGTTGCTGGGGCTGCACCTGCTGTTGACCCGCCTGCTGCCGCTGCGGCTGCTGCTGCTGCGGGCTCAAAACCGGCAGTTGGAGCCCCTGCTGCTGCAACGGTCTATTCCGTTGCTGTTGGGACTGGGATTGTACCAACCGCTGGGGCTGCACTACCTGTTGACCCGGCTGCTGTAGCAGCTGATTCCGTTGCTGTTGCTGCCGGGGTTGCGCCTGCTGCAGGGACTGCACTACCTGTTGACCCGGCTGTTGCTGCTGGGCTTGGGGCTGCGCCTGCAGCTGCGGCTGCACTACCTGTTGACCCGGCTGCTGTAGCAGCTGATTCCGTTGCTGTTGCTGCCGGGGTTGCGCCTGCTGCAGGGACTGCACTACCTGTTGACCCGGCTGTTGCTGCTGGGCTTGGGGCTGCGCCTGCAGCTGCGGCTGCACTACCTGTTGACCCGGCTGCTGTAGCAGCTGATTCCGTTGCTGTTGCTGCTGGGGCTGCGCCTGCCGCTGGAGCTGCACTACCTGTTGACCCGGCTGTTGCTGCTGCTGTAGCACCTGGTTCCGATGCTGTTGCTGATGTGGCAGCGCCTGTTGCTGGGGCACGGGGTGCTGCTGGGGCTGTGCTTGCTGCTTGGACAGCATTTGCTGCTGACGCTGCAGTAGCTGCTGCTGCAGCAGCCAGTTCTGCTGCTGCTGCTGCTGCTGCTGCTGGTATTGCAGACCATTTAGCTGCTGGTTGGCATGCGTCTGGCCGATTTGCTGCTGGCCCTGTTGCTGTCGGCTTGGCTGCTGCTGGTTCTGCTGCCGCTGGCTCTGCTGCTGACGGCTCTGCTGCAGCAGATTCTCCTGCCAGTCCTGCTGCCAGGATGGCTGCACTGTAACTCCCTGCATATGCGGTGCTCCCTGCTGTAAGCCTGTTCCCAGGATCAGCTGAGCTCCCGGAATCTGCTGGTTCTGCGCTTGAGCCACGGGGCTTCGAGATGATAGATTCTGCCTTATCGATCCTGCTATTGTCGCGTGCGTGGCCTGATTGGTCGACTGATACGGTAAGTTTTGATGCATCAGCACTGGCTGACCGGTCCTTAGAGTCGGTAGGCTTGCAGATGCCGTTGTAAGAGGACTGATTCTCTGGGATGGTACGGTCAGGGGTACTTGCGTGGCGTGAACGATTCGCACAGGCGGTAGAGCCTGATTCCCTGCTGGATTTCCCTGAGATAACACTCCGATCTCCTGAGATCCCGCGTTTACAGGTGCCGCTGTGGTCCGAAAGGATGTAACACGGTTCAGGAAGTCGGAAGCCGAATCAGGGACGGAGTTACGAGATGGATCCATGGCACCTGCTGTCCTTGCGACGCAAAAAAAACGGAGAAACTAGCAACTATACGATCTCCCTTCAACTTAACTACGGCTTTGCCTACGAGACTTGAGACAAGGACCTACTGCTCGGTTGAGAACGACGCTCCTGTTGTGGAATGGTTGAGGTTTCTATCAAGCTTAGGTCTCGGTTAGTATAATAATCTTCCGATCTAACTAGGTGTGCACGTTCCAAAAGGCAACATGAATATGAGCAGAGCTCGAAGCTAATGCCGAAACTAGAGCTGACAAATGAATCAAACAGGGATCATAGCAAGGATCCACCGCAGCTACCAATATCTACTCGCAACCTGAAGTTTCCCGCGAGAGTGCCTAGTACTACGTGCCTACGGTGTCTCCTAAAGCGCTAAAGAGATGGTTCTCAGAAAAGACAGGATACCTGCATGATGGTGATAATGGAAAGGAATTCAGGAACTTGATTGACAAGGAGAATCCAGGTCCCCATGGTTCTGCCTGCTGTTCTGCCTGTTGTAGTGTAGTGTAAACGGACAAACTTCTATGGTCTATGATAGCCATTCCAAACCGGACAAATCTCAGCCATCCGATTCCAGGAATTACCTGACGAAGATGTTGGCGAGCAGAGCACATCAGTCTTCCGCGCAGCTCAAACCTTCCGCGAAGCTCAATCTTTCCGCGCTTTGCCTCTTCCGGACCTGATGCATTCCGGATCAAATGCATTCCGCCAGGCGCCATTTTCCCCCAAAGCCAAGCCTAGCGGAAGCGGGAGCACAACCAAACCTGAGTAGATGTGCTTGGCGATACATGCGAAGTTACAGTGACGAACAACATAATTGGCGAAAAGAGAAGTGCTACACGGGCGAGAGTGGATATTGAGTTAACATATGGTTACTGAAACCTGCATTGCGAACAGCATCGCCTAGCGAAGCAGTCAGTGCTCACTATGCCAAGCAGACTTTCGCGCGCTTGTGTTTCAGGAGGCGGGAAACTGTTTCGCTCGGAGAATGTCAGACCTGGGAGATTCTCGAGGTGAACCCGCCCCAGCGGTCCACAGCCAGGAGAGTCTCGTCCGCAGGATTCACAGAGCACGGAGAATCTCGTCCGCTGGATAAACAGAAGACAGAATTTCTTCAGGAGGAGCACACACACAGCTCAAGGCTCCACCCACACCAGGATTCACAGAAAATGAAGGTTTCTGAGGTGGTAAATTGGTACAGCCTGAGGCATTCAGACAGCAGGACAGCATAGTGCAGTGCAGGCGCCATAGATATTATTCCACCCAATGGCATATCACTTTATGTGCATGCATCCCCTAGGGAGAGAATTTCCGAAGTAGACAACTCCGAGAGACATGGCGACAGGAGTTCAGCCGTATTAGTGTGTATTCCCATTATAATGCGCACCAGATTCAGACTAGGTTTTCATACCTGTATTCCAATTTCTTCCCAGAAGCCGTTGAATCAGATTAGCCATTATGACGCATATGCTATCTAGTCTCGAAGCACTACAATCGTATCAGGTTTTAAAAAAAATATTCCACACTGAATCTCCTCATTTCTAGTCATGACGTCAGCTCCTTCTCAGGATAGTTTCGTTGTCGGACAGCGGGTAGCTCTTAAGGAGCCCGAAATGGGCAGCCGCTATGCGCCACGTGGCACCGTGCGATACGTCGGACCCGTGGACGGTTACAAAAGCGAGTGGGTCGGCGTAGAGTGGGACGATCCTTTGCGAGGGAAACATGACGGCGTGGTAACCGGGAAACGTTACTTTCAGTGTTACATGGTTCCCTCTGGGACGCCTGCCGGATCGTTTGTGCGACCGCAGAAGCTGACGGGAGGGATCACGCTTCGTGAGGCCTTGCTGGACCGTTATAGCACAAGCGGAGCAGACTATAAAGGTGCGTTTCGCGCCTTCCACGACGAGCTTCATTCCGCTTATTGAATCTCGTTGCTGAAAGACATGCTATTACTCCGAGCTGGAAATCTATCTCCCGAAATCAGCGTCCCCTTCTCACGCACCATCTACTTCTTTTTTTGCCTTATATCGATCCACCTTGCAGCGGAGCCCATCTACAGGGCTCTCGGTCGGCGAAGGGCCATGGTTATAGAGTTCGTCTCCGCTCCAGCGAATAGGGCTGCAGCAGAGGGGGTTGCAGCAGAGGGGGCTGCAGCAGAGGGAGCAGAACCTGGAAGAGGGGAAGACATAGGAGCGCTGGAAGGGCAAGAGGAGGAGAAGGGGGTTGGGAGAATGGAAGGGGAAGCGGAAGGGAAAGGGGAAGGGGAAGGGAAGAGGAATGTAGAAGGTGCGGTTACTCAGAGTGACTCAGAGGGATCCCGTGAGGGCGTACTGGGTGGAAGAGAAGGCAGGAATGAAGACAAGGGAGACCCGTCCAAGAAGAACGGAATCTGGTTGTCCCGTCTTCAAGCAGCGAACGTGTCTGATGTGCCCGTGGGGTCGATTGGAGCTGCGGGGGAGGTGGCAGCTATTGCATGTGAGTACTTGCTGCTTCCCTTCTGCTGCTCAGAATGTCTGATGTGTGGTGTCCTGTATTGCATGTCTTAGGCGCTAGCTTACTCCGCCTCACATCCCTCTTCAGAAGCTATGACCCTATATCTCCTCTTGTTTTCTTCTCGTCTCTTCCCCTCCATTCCGCCCAGCTCTGACGGAGCTTGACGTGTCATACCACCTCCTGCGCGACTGGCACGAGGTGCAGGAAGTGGGGCGAGAGCTACCAGCGCTGACCGCCCTCACAACCCTGACGTGGTTGGCCACGTCCTCTTCTCTTTTCTCTTTCCCCTCCGTTCCTCCCAACTCTGACGGAGCTTGACATGTCATACCACCTCCTCTGCGACTGGCACGAGGTGCAGAGAGTGGGGTGAGGACCACCAGCTGTCACAGCAATCACATACCCTAAATATGTATCAGTTTGTCTCTTCCCCTCCCTCTCTCCCAGCCCTGACGGAGCTTGACATGTCATACCACCTCCTCTGCGACTGGCACGAGGTGCAGAGAGTGGGGTGAGGACCACCAGCTGTCACAGCAATCACATACCCTAAATATGTATCAGTTTGTCTCTTCCCCTCCCTCTCTCCCAGCCCTGACAGAGCTTGACATGTCATACCATCTCCTCTCCGACTGGCACGAGGTGCAGAGAGTGGGGCTAGAGCTACCAGCCCTCACAGCCCTTGACATCGGCCATTCCCGGATTCAGTTCCCTCCTCCTGCCTCCGAGCCATGCGCCTCTCCCTTGGCTGGGTTGAGGAAGCTTGGGCTGAACAACACACGAGTCACATGGACCCAGGTATGTGGGGCAGGGTTGGACTTTGCTGTGCACCTTGCACTTTGCGCCTTGCACTTTGCGCCTTGCACTTTGCGCCTTGCACTTTGCACCTTGCACTTTGCGCCTTGCGCCTTGCGACTTGCGCCTTCCACCTTGCACCTTGCACGTTGCCTTCTTGCTTTGAATCCTCTGCATTCCCACCTTGCTTTGCCTCTGTATCCAGGTGGAGGAAATCTCGCGGCAGCTTCCCCTCTTGGAAACCCTGGTTCTCATACGGAACGAGATTGCCGAGCTGCAACCCATCAGTGGCAGCAATTGCCTTCAGGTGAGAAACTGTGCAAGTTTTTGTAGGATTCTAGAGAACTTGAGACCCTCGTTCTCATACAGAACGAGATTGCCGAGCTGCTGCGACCCATCAGTGGCGGAGATTGCCTTGAGGTGAGAAAGTGTCCGTGGTTCTCGGCTAGATTCAAGGCAATTCCTGCGCCTGCTGAAAGAAAACCGTGGAGCTGCGACCACAGCACCAAGTTCCCTTTCCCTTCCTGCTGATCCCTTTGCCGAGCCCCATCTGGGTACCTTATCACATCCCCATTCTCTTTAACCCTTCATATTGTTCACCTCTAGCAGAACCTATCCTATCTGGACTTATCTGCGAACCGCATCGCCGACTGGGCTCAAGTCTGCTTCCTCTCCTCCCTACCTGGGCCTCTGTGATGTATGCTCATGGAGCATTCCCTTCTCCTGTTCTCCCCCTTCTCACCCCCGGCAGAACGTACCCTACCTGGACCTATCTGACAACTGCATTACCGACTGGGCTCAAGCAAGTCTCCGCGTTCCTCCTCACCTGGGTCCATTGTCATAAAGGCTCATGAAACCCGTCCCCATTCTGTTCACTCCTGACGCCACAGAACCTTTCCTATCTGGACCTACCTGACAACCGCATCACCACCTGGGCTCGAGCAAGTCTCCGCGTTCCTCCTCACCTGGGCCCATTGTCATATAGGCTCATGAAACCCGTCCCCATTCTGTTCACTCCTGACGCCACAGAACCTTTCCTACCTGGACCTATCTGACAACCGCATCACCGCCTGGGCTCAAGTCGCCTTCCTCTCGGCCTTACCCTCGTGAGTGCTGCTGATGCTGCTACTCCCACCCCTTCTCTCTCATGCCACTCCTGCTACTGCTGCCACTGCAACCTCTACCCTCTCTTGAAGCAACAGTTGTCCTCATCGTGCCTCATCTCTCCAGGCGCCTCAAAACAAGCGAGTCTTTTTTTCCCTGTGTGCCTCCTCGTCCTGGCGATCAGCCTGCAATGGCTGCTGCTCTCGGGGAACCAGATCTCAAAGATTGGAGACACTCATACCACAGCTGCATCCGAGCCTACGTTTCGCCATCTCCAGCACCTCTCTCTAGGTGCGCACTGCGTTTCCGGGCTGTGTGTAGCATGTTACCTGTGGTTACCCCCCAGCTGTACTGTCTTTTTAGTAGGCATGCCAGTTTCTGGCAAGCTTTGACCTGAGACAGATTGAGAGTCACTTCATGTGATTAAGAATGACTTTTCTTAACCTCTATCTATTTCACCGAATCCCCAATCCAGCTAACAATGGCATTTCTGACTGGTCCTCAATCGATGCCCTGGCCGTGACATGCCCAAACCTCAAGGTACGGCGCTTCCAAACCTCAAGGTACGGCGCTTCCAAACCTCAAGGTACGGTGATTCCAAACCTCAAGGTACGGTACGGTGCCTCTAAACCTCGTTGTACGGTGCTTCAAGCTTCAAGGTACGCTTTCGAAGCCTAAAGTATGCTGCTCCAAACCTCTCAAGGTGTGGTTCTCGAACCGTATCCCTTACCATCCCTACCGCATTGAGTGCGTGTCCCCCTACAACGTCCCTACCACTTCCTCGTCCGTCGCATATCATTTTCACTTACACATCCAGTTACCAGTTCCCATATCTCGCCATCACCACTACTCCCCTTCCCTGTCCCCATGCCAGGAGCCCATTCCCCCCGGCAACTTAGATACTTCTCGGACCTCAAACCTTACTAACCCCTCCTCTTCCCCCACACCCGCATCACACCAAGTTCCAATCCCCCCACTCCCTCCCCTCCTCCCTCCACCCCTTCCCCCCACCCCCTTCCGTTCCTCCA